TTTTTTGACTGGTTTTCTTTGTTTGTGATATTTTATCCAATCAAATTCAAGAACGATGTAATACAAATTTATCTATGAAAGTTAACTGGGTCTTGTGCAATCTTTTGCACATAGAAGAATTTGAAATTGATAGACAAAAACAACTACTCTGCCGGTTGAAATGAAACACGCTTAACAAAAATATCCGTAAATAGAACATCACACGCGTATTTTAATGTAATCCATGAGTGAAAATGCACGCATGTAAATTTGTGTTAGCTGAGAAACGACCATATTTAGGTCTTTATACGAATAATAACAAAAGTGGCAAGAATAATTTGACGCCTCCCTCAGTGGTGTCATACAGTGGCGTAGCCAGCCCGAAAATTTGGTCATGCTATGCAAATATTTCCGTGTTTATAGACCGTGAAAACAATCGATTTCTAAAGAAATGAATAATGATAATGATGTGATATTTGAATAGCATGACCAAGTTGTCGGGCTTGCTACGCCACTGGTGTCATATCAAATCATTTATTGGCATTCCGCAGTGAATCGGCCGTGAACCTCCAGGCCGACTCCCAGCGAAATGGATAGAGAGTTAACGATTCACGACGCGGCGAGAGAAGACGCGTTAGAAAGGCTTGGTAATTAACGCGGCCTAAGCCGTGTCGTCTTATTCTGTTCTCTACGTTGCGAAACACAACGCGCTAGCGTAAACGTTTATTTTGGCGGGAAAATGATAGATTTTGCAAAATCTTTCTAATTTTTGTTTAAACATCACAGACAATGTAATCAAAGGTACTACTTCGTCAACAACAAATTCAAGAACAAATTCACGTAGTGATCACAAGTTCACAACGTAGAATCATCGACTTGGAATTACACGGCTAGTTACCAAGCCTTTCTAACGCGTCTTCTCTAGCCGCGTCGTGAATCGTAAACCGTCTATTATGACTGTAACGCTACCTCCTCTCGGGAATATGAAACGAAACTTGAAGGCCGGTTTCAGTCTTTCCACGCGAAAAACGAGGTCGATCAAAACCGACTTAATATTTACAAAAAAAAAACTTGTAAACAGCACTCAAACTTTTCTATTGATGCATTTATTCATGTAAAACATCCTAATAGTCTTTACGTTTAGTTTTCTTCTTATACTTTTTCTAATAATTGTTTACACGAAAGAATTCGCGAGGCATAAACACGCATATTATGACTCCCACGTACGCTTGTCTGAGGGTTCGCAGATTTCGATCAAGATTCCAGTTATATTTGTTTCACTGCCGCCTAGCTCTTTTCTGTTTGAGTAGACACGTGTGAGAATTGAAAAATCTGATCTAAAATCAACCAATGTGATCTAAAATCAACCAATGAGCTTAAATCAGTTGTCAAGTAACGGTCATAGATTGATTCGAAACAAAACAAGTATAAGTAAAAGATGAGTTCGAGTGGAAAATATGGCATAGATTTTTTAAAATAGATATTAAATATTTTACAGAACTTACATATTTGAGTGAAATTTTCAAGTCGTTGGCGTTGTATAATGTGATGTAACAAAGCAGGAAAACTTTTTCAGTGGACCGTTCGAATACTAGATTCCCCTCATTACGTTTTCGTAGCGCTTTGCATTGTGGTTATAGTGGTAATAACGGGAAACGTAAGGGGCGGACCATTTGATTTTTGAGGGGGGTTGGAAGATTTCGAAATGCAATCCAAGGAGAAAGAAAAAAAATCATGCAGCATAAAATCGAGAAAAAAAACTAGGCATCCAAGGATAGTGTGAAGTTTCAAATTGAGAAAGACACTGCAGGAACTATATAGGGTCGCCGACAACCTAAAAAAGCTGATGGCGTACACTACGAAATAAACAGTTACCAAAGGCATTTCATCTCACTATCTATTGTTTTTAATGCGTTTGGCACATGAGTAGCGAGACGTCAAAAACGTCGTGCCTCGTGGAACTGATACAATTTATTTATTTATTGTGATGCTACACGCGAAAACTCGAAATTTAAATTGTTTCACCAACAACCAAATTTTGCATATTATAAAACTACATTTGCTTTGGGAGCTGTCTCTAAAAGCATCCCTACGAGGCTACTGATATGCTAAACTTATTTAAAACTATGATTATTCCTATGATCCTTTTAGCGCCCATATTGCACATTTGACTATTGTCTCAGTGACAACTTTAATTGAAATAGCTGTACAAGATTATATGTATGTTATGAATAATAAGCACTACGACGTTGCATCATTAAAAGGACGTATTTTATCCCGATCCGTTCCGTATTTTATCCACATATCCGTTCCGTGGATCCGCTCCATCCGCTTCCGCATTTTAACCTGATTGTGACATGTTTCAACAACAACAAATCTCATTGACCTTCGACTTATTCCCAGTGCACGTTGTGTCATTTTCAGCTTTTCGCATGTTTCAATAATGTCACTTTAGATTTCAATAGTTTCCCAGTTATAGCAGTGTTTATAGCAGTTTTGACAAGCATTGATACAGCTCTGTGTACAGATTGATTCTCGTATGATCTGGTAGAGTTCTCGTTGCACTGAACGCGAGTTTGCATCGTTGTGCTAGACAGTTTTATAAAGTTCTATTGCATAAAGCTTGTTGGCGAGCCAAGCGATTGGCGATAACACTTTGGCTATCTCCTCGTCTTTCTTGTTTAAATAAAGAGCTCTGACTTAACTGATTTCTTTAGTCTCGACTCTCGCAAGCTATCAGTTTTCTTCGTATAATGCACCTATCAATGTTTTCCCCCTGAATGAGGGAGGGGGGGGGGTGCGGGCAACCGAGGGGAATTTTGACATTTTTAAAATTTTGCTGTCAAAATCCCCACTGTTGGGCAAGGAACGGCTGTCAAAATTCCCCACTATATTCCTAAGATAACAAGGCACATATATGTTTTCCAATGCGAATATACAGTCTGTACTGGTTTACACTTTGTAAAAATTGAGACACTGTGTATAAAAGGCTATAAAATGTCGATGAAACTATAAATGTCGATGAAACTTGATCGTGCTTCTCCGCCACACTTGTTATCAGGCCTTTCAATGTCAAAACCGCGCAAACTTTCAAGATGGTGGATGTCAAAATTTCCCGACTCTGGGAGTTGATGCACAGGTCAAATTCCCCTCACTGGGGCTTCATAGTGTGGTCAAAGTCCCCTGGGACGCCCGCACCCCCCCCCCTCAGGGGGAAAACAATGATAGCAACCTCGTTCCCAGGGCTTTTCCCTAGGGCCTTTTAAAAGCCCTGGGAACGAGGTTGCAATGATAGGTGCATAAAACGCCATACATACACCCGCTTCTAATAATAGTTGTTTCCGCTTTATTGATCTGATGCAATTTTTCGCACTTTGTACTGAGTGTAGGCTGTGTAGCCATCTATTCTGTGGTGTAGCACCTTTAACAGTCAATGCATAAATGAATACACGGTCCAAATAATATTGATGGGCACTTTATAATTGAATGCCGGTAATGCATGACATCAATTTATATATTGCGTAAAATCTCAAAGATTTTCTCACTAACAATATATTCATGTCTGAAATGTTTATATGCATGTCTGAAATGTTTATAAATTTGAAAACAACACTGTCTCGCTCCTTCCTACCTCTGTATAATGAGTATACCGTGAAAATAATATCGGCACTCAATCATGCCTAGATTGGCTAGAATCTCAAAGATTTTCGACTCAATATTTACGTCTGAAATGTTTATACACTTGAAAAAAAAGCACTGTCTAGCCCTATACTGTGCTGTCTAGCTCCTTCCTAGCTCTGTATAATGAATATACCGTCTAAATATCGGCACTTAATTGAATGTGTATACATTTGAAAACAACACTGTGCAAACGCATGCCATTTGCGCTGGTAAAGAAAGAATCGGGTGTTCCGGGGTAAAGATCTTTTAACAACATGAGCAGCGAATGTTATAAAATTTACAAAAAATTACAATAACGAAAACGATTCCTCGAAATTTTTGTGAACTTGATAAAAGGATAAAAGAATATTTAAATAAAACAACTGAAATTGCCTAAATAACCTTCAAAGCATTGACTAAGTACAATAAATTTCTCAACTACATAAATCGTAAACCCCCCGGAAAGTTTACTGTATGACTGACTGAATGACTGATAAGTTTGAATTTCCCCCCAGTCGTCACAATACTGTGAAGTTTCGAAGAAACTTCACACTAAAAATCATGCAAAAGAGATCACTCAAAAAAAATTCCTACATGTAAATCTACTGACGTTCTTTCAAGTTTAACGTACTGTATATACGATGATTTTAATGCGAAAATGTCAGTTTAGAGAGTCTAGATTTTAAAAAATCTCTGAAGAGGATGCAACCCGATCCCCAAAAAGCTATCTGTATGAACGATTGAAAAGCTACAGAGCTATATTTGGTGGAACAGTTAAAAATCGCATTATTGAAATCTTTTTTTATTACATATTAATCAAAGCTCATTTTGTGATTTTCCCTTGTTTAAAATAAAGGACAGTAAGTGTTCTTTAGGCTTAGTACAGCAAAGTTGTTGCACGAATCCATGGCTGAAAACGCTGGAAATAGCATTTCCGAGGTTCAAATTTTAAAATTTTCTCGGGGGAGCATGCCCCAGGACCACCCAAGGTTACTGAGGTCATTCATATACTGTACCTCCCCCATTTTCGAGTACTCTACTCTATCCCTACATATTTTAGGTTTTGGTGCAGTTATACATTTTTTGTAAGTAAACCTGTACGTTTTAGTGCGGGGAACATTAAGACATTAAACCATATAAAATAAAGCACAGTGAAAATTCCTTGGCCCCTCGTGGGATTCAGTTCTCGGCCTCCTCTGACTGAAAACCCCGGCTACGTCTCTGACGACAGCTATATGAAAGCCTTAAGTTACTGTAAGCCGTTATTATGAGAGACAAAAATAAAAATCCTGCCGCCAAATATATTGCCATATTTGGAAAAAATATCTTGCGCTGCACTTTTACAGGAAAAAAATATCTGTCTTGTTCCCCTAGGCGGAAAAAAATTCTTGCCCAGTCTGAATCTTCCAACCCCCCCTCACCCTCCCCTCAAAAATCAAATGGTCCGCCCCTAATAAGGGGAATCATCAATTGAAGTTAAAACTGTAATTGTCTTGAACATTTTTATATGCATATTATTAATATACGCAATATGATAGTTTCTCGTGAAATTTGGATAAAAGAAGCACTCGTGAGTTTTTCAAATACCCCAAATAAGCACTTGTCCTTCGGACTCGTGGTAGTTTGATGCTCTTTGAAATACTCGATCACTCGTACATGTTTTATCTAAATTGCAATCGAAACCATCCTATTACCTATACAAATAGCAAATAAGTTAAAATACCAATTAATATATATGCCCTAATTTAATGTATTGGTAAACTGACACTAATTTAATGTAGTTCACACAAGAATGGGTGTTTACAGGATCAGTTCTTTTTCTATCTTGTGCAATTGAAGTGTTACTGGAAACGGATGCCGATGCGCAACGCTTCAGTTCATTGCTGTTAAATTCCGTGTAACACCATTAATTATTCTAATGTAACATGTGGCGGCTTTATACGGAAGGTAATAGCGCTTTAGCGCACACCTTTACCAAATTTAACTATCAGATTTTGATAATATACAATATAAAGGTGTACCTCGACATAGAGAAATATTTGTTCCTGGGAGATGAGAACACTCCTGTGCACGTGGGAGCATCGTAACTGCAACATTACAATATACATATATTCAGTATATTTTATTATAATAAAACGAATGAGACTCACTTTACATATAACAAAGCACAACGATAGGGCTATAACTCAAATGAATATGCAATAAATTGATGTCGCCCTTGCCCGCTTTCTATTAGTTTAGTTTCAGAGAGAATTCTAAGAAAAGCAGAAGCTTGTCAGTCACTTTGTGATTGAATAATTGACTGTAAAAAAGTTCGTATTACAACAGCTGAATTTACCCTTACCACAATAAGCCAAAAAACATTGCTTGGGCTCTTTTAGTTTGTAAAGGTAGAAGTCGCCAGGACATTTAACAACTTTAATGTCGTAGGAAATACCACATCCTTTTGGCAACTGGAAAGCAATAGCTGCACACGCCGTTGCGTTAACGATAATATTTTCTTCCGTTGGATGTTCACCATTGAACCATATTGGAACGTGTGTACCACAGCGATTTAAACCGGGATTTTCTGTAGGGATAAGAGTGATGTTACCAGATGCACTGTAAAATCGGTACCACTTATTGTCTTCGATGATTCCACGGTCACAAAGATATGGTGGCGAACTTTTAAACGCTGTGCTACGACGTGTGTCGTTGATTAAGGTGTATTGGACTTCACTGCAAAAGGTTCCTGCACGCACTTCTTGCGAATGGTACAAAAAGAGGAAAAGAAATGGTAGAAACGCGTGCATATTCGTACATATATATATTAGGCGAATATAGGAGGAAGTTGAAATATTATCTCGTCTTGTATTTGTTTTCCTGGCAAAATAGAATCAAACACTACGGGAGAGCGGGATAACGCATATTTTAGAAGTAAATAAAGTCAAGCTTGAGAGGTTTCGCTTCTTCGTTTTCTAAATTTACGCACCATATAAACGCGCGTTAATTTAAGTAACACCAAACACGGATGCTTAATTCTCCTCGCTGGAAAAATGTGCCGTTTTTTTGTTGAAACTTTTTGGAACTCGACTACATTCCTGCTAAAATGTCGGCAAAATATCCGCATGGCGGCCAGTCAGACGTCTCCACCTCAATATGTCGATTTCACGTTAGGAATGTGATCGCATTCCTGAATGTTTCGAAGCGAAAATCGGAAAATATGACACGTTTTTGAGACAAGAGGAAGCATCCGTATATAGTTTTGGCAATATTTTATGTAACTTTAATTGTGCACTTGCTCTGTAATTTAAATTGTACCTAACAAACAGTATCGCAATAACAATGTGTAGGCTATATCCACATGTCTGTGTTTTTGTTTATAGAAAATAAACCATGAATATGGCCATGAATACAACATGCACTAATTAACTTCGGATATGCTAAGAGATTTAGCTATTTAACTCAAAAAATGAAAATCGATTTTTTCGAGTGGTTTTAGATAGACCCCCACTTTAAACGAGTTTATATATATTCAATTTCTCGTGTGTACTCTGTCATTAGCGGCTTTTTGTATTCAATATATGTTTTGTTAATGCTACTTTCAATGCAGTCTGTTTAGTTTTAATATACATAACACAATTGATGGATCTGGTCGTCACTGACAAATCAGGTATTTTGCTCAACTTCGTTCAATAATTGTATAATGTAGCTACTACCAAGATCATGTGTTGTACATGAAATATAGGCATAAAATGTCCAGTTATAAGAATATCAAAGACTTGGTGGTTTAACGGAACATTTGCTTTCAATAGATCTTCTCAGCGGGAATTTTGTTTTCAATAGATCATCTCAGTTTTATATGCAAATTGCATGCATGCTCACTTCAATGTTTATTTCAAGTTGGCTACAAGAAGACAAGACAAGATTTATTTGCTCCTTTCAAATTACAATTATATATACACCAAGAAATTATTTATATTTGTTAGCATTATTATTATTATTAAAATATTTTTTGTATTCTGTGACTAATTGTTTTCTAATTTTTGAGCAGATTTGAAAGGGAGCTGGCTCCCTGAATAACCACAGGGCTATATAAATATCACAACATGAGCTCCACCTTTGAATTTACTATATATGAGTAAATTCTTAAACACGTCCGAATTTATCATTATGATAAATTCGCGGCACATTTTGAATTTATCAATAGAGTTAATCATAAAACCACAAGCATTACACAAGATTTCTTGTTATAAATGTAATGGCACTAAAAGGGAGGCTGGTCGCGCAGGGGTGGAAGCTTTCAAGTTTTTAAAAAAAATAGAGTTTTGAAAAGCAAGAAAAGTTTAAAAAGTTAGATTTTTAAAAAAGTTAAAAAAATTAGGGTTAGTGGTTAGGGGTTAGTGGTTAGGGTTGGGGTTAGTGTGAGGTGCCGCGAATTTATTATTATGATAAATTCAAAATTTGCCGCGAATTTATCATAATGATAAATTCGGACGTGTTTAAGAATTTACTCATATAGTAAATTCAAAGGTGGAGCTCATGCTGAAATATCAGGGAACCAAATAAAGGACGAAAGAATTATGAAAATTGACAATATAGTTCTATATCAAATGAATTTTAAAAGATCGAGAAAGGAGTGCTGACTCCCGATAACGTATAGAAAAAGTTGGAAACTGAATCAATACTTTCCAAGAAAATCGATTCTAAGTTTATATTTAATTTGAGAACTTTCCAAGAAAATCGAATCGCGATCGATTCTAAGTTTATATTTAATGCTACTTCGTGAATGCGTATATATTTTTGCTGTTGAGCGTTAGCGAACCACTGGGTACGAGGTTGGATGTGCTAGGGTTTTTCCAATCTCGAAACCAGAGCCTGCAATCCTCTGTGGAGGCTTGCTGAGGCTCTGGGAAACACCAGCGAAAGTCGGGCTCTGATTGGTTGTTTTTCAAGTGCTAATTATTATTCAAACTGTGGGTCTATTTAGTGATTCAAACATCGTTTAATTAATATAAAGTTTATTTCTCTTTGTGTATTATGTTTAAACATATCAATGAAACACACAGCATGACTTTAATAAATTTGTTAAGCTTCCCTAGCTTCTCATATGAAATCAATGGACTATTCCGATATTGATATGCCAATAACAAAATGTAGAATAACAACAGTGCACCATTACCATATGATGTCATGATAAGCCGTTGCCTATAATATTCAAAACTAGGAGTTACTATTGCAAGGAAAATGCTGCCGATATGTACATGCGGATGTACTACAACCAAAAAGTGTCTTTTTCACTGTATGTTTCTACATCAGTTACCTCGTACAATTGTATCTCACATCTCATCTTATAAAAGTGCACTATAAAGTATAAACTCGGTGGTCACATGTGTATAAGCGTGGAACGTGTATCGTGGGTTAACTGTAAACTAAAGGTTGTTCAAGCAGCAATAATAATCTTCTTGAACAAAATCTTCTATACAACATTCAAAGTCAGTTTAATCAGCATTTGAACTTTCGTTTAACCTAGTGACTTATTTCAATACATCAAAACAATTGTGCCTTCCCTCATGTAAACAGCCCCTAAGATCTGTTGACATGCTATATTACATGTCATTGCTGGTAAGTCAATATGTGCAGACAACAGTCTACACTGGGTTGCTTTTGGAATCTTTCTAAATCTTGTTAAGCCTGATTTAACAACATCCCGTGTTTGTTTTTAAACTATAAACATCTAGGAATGGAACGTACCGGACGGCGAACACTATTATAAACCCATCGCCTTTGCACATATTATTATAAGTGACATAACAAACAAATATTAAACTAAAAGTACATTTGACTCCTTGTATCAATTAATCAATATAGAGGCATTAATCCACTATATATGTTGACGAATAGATCAGTGCCAGTGGGCTATTATTAAAACTGCCGATATATTCTTGAAATCATATTGTTTCAATACCTCTATATCGAAGTTTAATACACTAAACAAGTATAAACCGCAGATTTAAATATAAATGCCTTCATGTATATCATGAAACAGGCAGACACGAGTCACACCACTAGTATAAACACGAGAAAGAAATAAAGCCATCCTTGCCTGAATTGATCCGATTTGAAATGGAACCAGCACGTGTCCATGGTATGTGCCAAAGCAAGCAAAATGCTCGGCTTCATTAAAAGATCATCAATGGACATTCGCAACGAGAAACCCGCCTTGCCCTTTACAAGACAATGGTGCGAAGCCATGCAGATGGCATATTGCACACAAATTTGGTCACCACAGTCGGTATCACTTATCCTTCAAGTAGAAAACGTCCAACGTCGCGCCACCAGATACATTTTATCACTGCCATTCTTGTCAGGAGTATCATACAAAGATATACTTGTCAAAAGTGGTTTACAATACATTAACATACTGGCATGAATTCCTGGATATGGTCTACCTTTACAAAGCGTTAGTTCTATCTAATGACCATAATATCCATGTAAAGACAACAGATCAGTTGACGAGAGAAAATGATGGAACAGCAAAAATTATATTACAAGTTCCTAGAGTAAACACTTTAACATTTCAGAACAGTTATTACTGCATGCAGATCACCCAGGACTTTTAACTGTTTACCATCACACTTACGGCAGTCAAATCTCTCAATCAGTCAATGTTTGCCATCACACTTACGGCAGTCAAATCTCTCAATCAGTCAATTTAAATGCGGCCTATTTAAATATTACCAAAAACTTGTTGAAGAGGTTTACGACATTGATGTTCCACAAACGTTTAAAACAGTGCATGTGTGTAAAGTATCATTTGTGTCGTCCCTTGTCCAGTCTTTCTGTCAAACTGTGTTGTCATTAGTTGCTGTTTACCCAGTGGAAATATCACTTTGTTAGAGAGCATGTGAAATTTAAATTAAATTCCTTTTTTCGATCCACATGATTAGAATTGCTCGGACCACTTTAAATCAAACGTCTCGGTGATTAGCGATTTTTAAGCGATATATCCCCTGTGTTAACTTATATTTCAGTATTGCATTAGCAGGTTACCCGTAAAGGAGCAACTAGCTCTGTGGGTTAAACCGGTCATGTGACAAAGATTGTAAAATAAAATAAAAATAAATAAAATAATTATTCAAAATATTGTCGATCATTCATGCCAGAAATATAAAATAACACCGTGCTGTATTTACTCATTCATCTTCACAAATATTACTCGGAATTTTTATGGCAATTCGCATTATTTTATGATTTCTATATTTCTGTCCGTTTATAATAGTCGTCATGTTATTGAACAACCCCCCGGGAACAAAAAGAATAATATCAAAACAGCTAGATTTGGCCCGTCTGTGGATGACAAAATGACATAAATCGATATTGTAGCAGCAATAAACTCGGCGATCACGTGGTAAGCACACCACGTGTAGAGACCATAGTACCCAGAGCCCTTCTTACGCGCGGTGCGACGAGGGGCTCTGGCCAAATCCATATTCCGAACTGGCATCTGATTGGCTAGTTCTAACAGCGGATATTGTTTTCTTACCATGTTTTTATGGTATCCGGTTATGGATTTGGCCAGAGCCCCTCGTCGTACCGCACGTAAGAAGGGCTCTGGGTACGAGAATGGTGTAAAAGTCGCCGGTGTTTCCCAGAGCCTAAGCAAGCCTCCACACAGGATTGCAGGCTCGGGTTTCGAGATTGGGGTTTTCCCGAGTTCTCTCGACTCAGTCTTTCGCGCGATCTATGTATGATTGAGATTTCGGCTTGCAAGCAAATACTTGAATGTGTACCTATTAAATTGGTCTCCCCATATTTATATTTGCTGACTAGGGAGAGCGGAGTCAGGACATTGTGATATTGTTTGCTCTTGCGCAGTTGAGTGGTTTTTCGTACATATGTTGGATATTTGGCTGTAGTTTTGCTAAATTCGAAACTATACTGTTTTACCGTTTTATATTTATTTTGCATGTAAATAAAACACTATACAAACCAATGACTGTTTCGATTTATATTCGGTTAGCTGCGTGGGATTAGCGAGAATCCGAAATACCTATGCCATAAAATGTGTGTACCAACAGCTTATGAGTTAGGCCACATAACTATATAAAGGTTTTTCTGTCTTGTTCTGCCTGATCTCAAGTAACGAAATTTCCTTAAGCGAATAGCAAATTGCTCATAAGCGGCATCACCGGTGTTGACATATTTCGATCGATGTATATATATATATATATATATATATATATATATATATATATATATATATATATATATATATATATATATATATATATATAAAAAGACATAAACAACAAATTTCAATCTTAAAATTTTATTTCATCGCCACACAGTGTTTCACGTACAGCGTACGATCATCAGGCGATTGATGTTAATTATCTCGCAATAAATTACAACGGTTTACGCTGACGCGCTTAGATTGCTGACGCAAGCATTTAAACGATTGTGTTTACTTGCGCGCGCGCGTTTGAAATTCGAAGCTTTATAACTGTTCCTATGCCTACACTTGCTAAACAATTCAGATCTTATATTCAATGTATTAATTTTGTCCGATAACATAATCATTCTTTTTTCCTCGGTGCACAGAGAACAAACTTTCATTCCTGGGCAAACGGCTGGAACTTGCTTCATGACCGACCAATTTATTCGGAATGATTTGTTCTGCAATTTAAGACCCCAAGCATATTTCGAAAGTTCCGTCTCTGTCGAATAGCGCTCATTGTTCAATGATTTCAAATGATTGCTATATCGTAGCTTGAAAGGACCCGCCGTCATTCCTATATAATTCTTGACCACTTTCCCATTGTCGCTTGTAATCTGGGCTTTATACACAACGCTTCTCACGAGACAATTGCCGTTCAGTGGACATTTACTTTTAATTCTGCAGTTACACGATTTTGATGGAATTTGGGAGGGATTCTGATTCTTAAGAACACGCCGGTTGTGGTTTGAAATTGATGCTTTAATATTGTTCATGCATGAATAACTGACTTTGACAGAGTTTCGGTTGAAAATTTTATGTAGGATCGATGATTTGGGGAAATGCTTGTCTATTAAACGAAGAGACAAGCAATAATAGACAAGCATTTAATTTTCATATTTATTATTTCATTTCATTTTCATATCTTTAATAGACAAGCATTTCCCCAAATCATCGATCCTACATAAAATTTTCAACCGAAACTCTGTCAAAGTCAGTTATTCATGCATGAACAATATTAAAGCATCAATTTCAAACCACAACCGGCGTGTTCTTAAGAATCAGAATCCCTCCCAAATTCCATCGAAATCGTGTAACTGCAGAATTAAAAGTAAATGTCCACTGAACGGCAATTGTCTCGTGAGAAGCGTTGTGTATAAAGCCCAGATTATAAGCGACAATGGGAAAGTGGTCAAGAATTATATAGGAATGACGGCGGGTCCTTTCAAGCTATGATATAGCAATCATTTGAAATCATTGAACAATGAGCGCTATTCGACAGAGACGGAACTTTCGAAATATGCTTGGGGTCTTAAATCGCAGAACAAATCATTCCGAATAAATTGGTCGGTCATGAAGCAAGTTCCAGCCGTTTGCCCAGGAATGAAAGTTTGTTCTCTGTGCACCGAGGAAAAAAGAATGATTATGTTATCGGACAAAATGAATACATTGAATATAAGATCTGAATTGTTTAGCAAGTGTAGGCATAGGAACAGTTATAAAGCTTCTAATTTCAAACGCACGCGCGCAAGTAAACACAATCGTTTAAATGCTTGCGTCAGCAATCTAAGCGCGTCAGCGTAAACCGTTGTAATTTATTGCGAGATAATTAACATCAATCGCCTGATGATCGTACGCTGTACGTGAAACACTGTGTAGCGATGAAATAAAATTTTAAGATTGAAATTTGTTGTTATGTCTTTTTATTTGCTCTACTGATTTATTGGTGTTGAGCACTCTAGTTCACTACGCACAAATTCAATATTGAATATATATATATATATATATATATATATATATATATATATATATATATATATATATAATATTCAATATTGAATTTGTGCGTAGTGAACTAGAGTGCTCAACACCAATAAATCAGTAGAGCAAATAAAAAGACATAAACAACAAATTTCAATCTTAAAATTTTATTTCATC